AAAAAAAAAAAAAAAATAAGAGAAGAAAAATATTTTTTTTTGGCAGAATGAAAAGAAAAAAGAAGAAAAATATTTTCTTTTGAAAGAATGAAAAAAATATTTTTATTCTTCTATTTTTATAACAAATCAATCAGCTCTTTCTCTTTATTTATTTATTACTTAGCTTGAGAAACATCCATCAGAGCAAATACCGAAGCACTAAAAAGAAAAGGAGAATTTTTCCCCTTTCCCTTTTTTTTCCGTTTTTTGCGGTTAAGCTTTTTTTTTTTTATTTGATTGATTCACACAGTCCAGTTTTATTGGTGCCACAGAAATAATCGTACCTGGCAGGTAGAGAGGGAAAGTGGAAAGGGTATCGTTGGTTCAGTTAAGCACTGATTCATTACTCTCCATAGCATTAGCATCTTTTTGTCTTCCCCCCTTCCCAACCTATCAAAAAAAATCATCACATTAACCCTTCCCCCATCTCCTTTTCCATCCTATTCTCATATCTTTTTTTCAGCCATCTAAGACGTTGATTATTTTCTCTTCTCCTTCTGCTCTGAACATCAGTTTTATGCAATACAGTTAAATCGTTGATATCAGTCAACTGTATATCAGCAGCACCTTATTGTAACACAAATAACGTTAAAGACGCATGCCGCTCTGTTTCAAACGTATTCGTCATATTTGCTCACAACGCTGTCTGTAAGATAGGCTTTATCGTTAAAATAGCTGTTATTTATCTAATGTCAGAACTGCTATTTTTTGTTTATAAAAATGACAAAGGAAAAAAGATGTGTGTAGTTTATCATAATTTTTTTTGTAACTTTTTTTTTTTTCTTCAAATCATTTTATATTCTACCAGTACAGCTAATGTAACAAAGGTATCTGTTGAATATGGGCTTCTTTTCCTATTACTGTTCAAACTATAGAACGATCAGCGATGTATACTCTTGGCAACTATGATGATGATAATGTCCACTAAAGAACTAAATATACAATAAGTTTTGGTCAAAACAACAACAAAATATGTTGACACCATCTTCTGCATGTCAATCTTCCAGATGGTCGAATTTAATGGGTTTAAGATCGATCTGCTGTCACTGATTCCCAGATGTGAAATTTGCCAGCATCATTTTGATACATTCCTTCGGTCCCCACAGATCCTTCCCTGCAGTCATACGTTCTGTCTGATGTGTATCAGTAAAGTAAAAAATTTTTTTAACGCTTTTTTTTCTTGCTTTATTTGGATTTTAATATTTATTAGGCGTTAAAATTTACACGCTTAAGTGTTTTATCAGTGGCAATTATAATGGCTTTAATTGTTATCATAAAATTTTAAACTTTTTAATCGGATTTTTTTTTTTTTTGAAAGATTTAGATTTAATGTTTTTTTTTTGTGTGTTTTTTTTCAATTACTTAATTATACTGCGAAAAATAATGGGCTAAAAATCTAATGATATTCTTTACGA